TAGGGCTTAGGGTTTAGGGTCTATATTCTAAACCGTAGGAGTGTAGGGGTTGAGGTTGTTGGGCGTCGTGGGTTTCTGTTCTAGTTGGGGAGGCTTGGAGTAAATCTCGCCAGGGTGCCCCGTGTAAAGGAATAGGATACTTAGTCTCTCATGCGTCTTATGTTTCTTAAGTCATGATACGTCTGCGGGCGAGACCCTGAACACTAAACCCTGAACCCAAAAAAGCCCTTTTAAACCCCCAACTAACCTTAAACTCCAAACTGTCGAGACCCCGAGCCTCCGACCGGTGATCCTGCCAGTCTTAATCCCGAGGATTCTGAAGCCAAGGCTGCAGAGACCCCGGAATTCCAGAGCCGACTCCCTGAAGCCTGCAGCCTGGCACTCAAAACCAATCTGGCAACGCGGGGCTTTAAGTCTACATAGCATATATCATGTAGCCATATTCTATATTATACTTTAGTGGCCTGCTAGCATGGAAGCCTGAAGAAACGTAGGGTTTAGGTTTTAGGGGCATGGGGGTTTAGGATTTAAGGGTCAGGGGCTTTGGGTTTAGGCCATCTCTAAGAAATGATATTCCTGAGGGCGAATAGGTTTAAGCTCCTATTCTCATGACTTACTATCCAGGTCCCTGTATTTTGTCTGCCCTAGAAGGCTACCATACGGGCTCTAACGGGCTGACTTTCAGAGTCTCTTATGAGGGCCCACGTGACCACGAGGAAAACATGCAGAATCTTGGGCTTGAGGTTTATTTGGGCTTAAGGGTCTAGGATGTAGGGTTTAAGACTTTAAGAGTTGAAGGGCTTTAGGATTCAGGGTTAGGGTGTCTTGGAATTCCAATCATAGGGGCCGCAGCTCTACATCTCCAAGCATACGACCCTCTTCCCTTACACCCTGAACGCCCTGACCTCGACAGACGCCCTGCTCAAACCCATTCCACGACCCAGGAACCTAAACCGCAAAGCCCCAAAACCGAAGTGTAAGCTTTAAACCCATTTTAAGCCACCACAGATTTTGATAACCATTGACGGTCCTCTTGGAGGTACCATGGGAGCCTGTGAAAGTGCGCCGGTCCAGGCGGGCGAGTTCAAGGCGGAGAAAGGGTTGTTACCCAGAGAGATAACGATTCGCGTGTCATGTACTTTTCTATCTATCTATCTATCTATCTATCCATCGATGTACCTATTTCTCTATCCCTCTATCTGTCTGTCTGTTTGTGTGTCTACCTGCCTGGGGCTGCCTGGCTGCCTGGCTGCCTGGCTGGCCGGCTGGCTGGCCGTCTGGCTATCTGGCCGTCTGGCCGTCTGGCCGTCTGGCTGTCTGGCTGTCTGGCTGTCTGTCTGTCCGTCTGTCTGTCTGTCTGTCTGTCACATACATATGTATACATATGTACATCTGCGCATGCATATCCATATACAAACAACAAGCATGCACATGTACATGTACATGTACATGTACATGTACATGTACATGTACATGTACATGTACATGTACACGTATGTGTGTCTGTGTGTAAGTATGTAATTACGTAAGTATGTAAGTAGGTAAGTACGTACGTAAGTAAGTATGTATGTATGTATGTCTGCTTCTAGACCCTAGACTCTAAGCTTTGAGATCCTTCGTCAGTAGACAGGTAGGTTTAGGGTTGAGGGCAGGTTTCCGGAAAGTGGGAGTGGGGGCCCAGCATGCAGACGACTAGGTCGACTAGGTGGGCTACGGTACTCTGACGAACAGAAATCATCTTGGCACTTCTGTACGACTAAGACCCCTCGTCAAAGCAAAACTCGCGTGCAAAACAGAGTAGCGCGAAAGAAGAGCCAATGATAGCGGTGTTTCTAGTAGGTGGGGCAATGAGCAGAAACGTAGCAAGAACCATATCCGTCGCTATCGCCGCAACATCGGCAACAGGTGGAGAGGCATCCTGCCATGAGTGGCATGGAGAGCCGTTTGGTGCAGAAGTTTGGCTGGATCCCCGCCACCTGCCTTGAAGATCTTGCCTAGCAGGCCGAGGTCCTTTTTTCGGCTCAGGGATGTCGATGAGGATGGTGGCGGTGATGGTGATGGCGAGGAGCAGGGCGAGGAGCTTGATGTGCATGGACTGGACTGTGACGACGGCCGTTGTTGATGTGTTGCTGAAGATGCAACCGGCAAAGTTGTGATCATAGTGGCGCCCGTGGTGGTTGTGGTGGTGGTGGTGGTGGTGGTGGTCGTGGTGGTGGTGGTGGTGGTGGTGGTGTTGACAGTATTCTCGCAGCCCTCATCCAGAAAATTACTGGCTACAGGACAGCTCATTGTAAAATGGTATTATGCCAACACGATGTTAGGAAAGCGTGCGCACTCGAATACGAAACTATGTCACTATGTCATCATGTTGTTAGCAGCACAGAAGAAGGCAGCTCGCGCTCCCATATGTACACTAGTACACGACCATGAATCATACTGCGATGCTACATAACCTTTCAGCCCTGTCCGTAAGAAGACCACGACGACGCCATGGTCGTCATTCGTCACCATAGGCATGAGGGCACCATCAGCTTTCCGAGCCGTTTCGTCATCGCACGTGTCATCTTTGTCATCGCCGTCGCCTTCATCTTGCAGATGCTCCTCGGCATCAGCCTCTTCCTCTTGTTCTTCAGGTTACTGCTGCTCTTGTTCAGTGTGCCCCGTCTCATCATCATCAAAACATTGGAAATCATTGCCCCTTCCAGCCCGAGGCTTTCAAGAAGCAGAAGCCCCCAAGCTCACAACCAGCTCTACCCTGAGCAAGTTCGAGAGACATAAGTGTGCCGCCGGCACGAAAGAAACAACTGTTTGCAGCTTGGAAACTTAATATACATATATATATATATATTATATATATATATACACATATGTATATGTATATTATATATATATACATACATATATTATATCTATGTATATATATATATATCATCACTTTCGCTGCAGCCTCAGAAACAGACCTGCTACCAGAAGCAAGGACATGCCAGACCACCGCGACAAGCACTTGACCTTCTCCTCGGTTGAGGCACCGAGCTCGACGCCCGGCAAGCAGCCCAAGATTCTGCTTTCTGCAGCGAGGTTTGAGGTTCTAGCTTCACATGAAGTTTTCATGAGTAGAGGTAGGTACATGGTAGGAGGAAAATGCCAAGGATTCTGGTTTCCGTCTTTTGCGATTTTTTTTTATAGCTACCCATGACTACTGTAGAGCTGACTAATTAGAGGTCTTGGGTTTCAGGTGTACGGCTTCAGCAGCTGTAGGATCCAGAATTCACTCCACAGCGCAGTGAAGGGAACCTTCAATCAGAAAGTCTGAACATTAGAGCCTGGACACCCGCAGACCACGACTGAAGATCACTGGGCTATTAGATTGCTCTCTTATCGATGTCCGATCCCGTCAAGCTCAAACGCAGCTCAAAGGCGGGGGTTCGGTTCGACACCCTCTAAACCCTTGAGACTTACATGTGGCGGCCCCGCTCAGTCTCTTCCCCAAGCAGATCCGCACCATGAAGAAGGTTTTGGAGTGATTAGGGTTTTAAGTTTTAGGGTTTTAAAAGTTTAGGCAGTGATGCTTATCATACTCATTGCTACTCAGGATGCTTGTCATGCACGGTCTTCGTAGCCGAACACCCTCTAAGACTGCATGTCTTTAAGCTCAGACCATGGAGCTGCTAGGTATTCAAAGAATTATTGAATTAGTTTGAGGTAACTCTCGATTCCTCTCTTGGTCAGTGCAGGCTTTGGGGCAACCCAGAAGGGAATCGGTGTGCTGGAATACATTGTCAGGGTAAGTGTATGAGTTGCTTCTTAGCCTCTTTGCTCAAAGCAAGACCTTGCGTGTCCTGAGTTCTAAACCCTAAACCCTAAACCCTAACTTTTAAATCCTATAGCCCTATAACCCTTATAGAGAGCCTGAATTCTACCCGGGATCCGAACACTGCGACGCTCAAGCCCAAGCCGTAACTAGACTTGGAGCTCCTGTAGGATAGCCCTTATCGCTAGCTCTATAAATCCCTAGCCGCATCAATCCCCAGAATCCGAGACCCTAGACTAGACCAAACCCTAGCCTACATACCCTAAAACCCTAAACCCTAGAATTAGCCTGGACTCTATAAACCCTAAACCTTGTACCCTAAAGCCCTAAATTGTAGGGTTTAAAGCCGAAGGATCAAGAAGAAGTCTGATGGAGCGAAGGAGATTGTGGACCTGCGCCCCGAAAACGGCAGCTACGGCTCGATTTCGTGGGGTTTAGGGCTGGGGGTTTCGAGCGTTTAGGGCTGGGGGGGGTTTTAGGGTTTAGGGTTGGGGCTGTGGATTTAGGGTTGAGGGTTTGGGTTTTGGGGGTTCAGGGTTGGGGGTTTGGGGTTTTGGAGGTTTAGGGTGTAGGGTCTACACCCTTCAACCCGAAAGTTCAAAAGTTTCAGGTAACTTCCCTGGCTTCAACTGCACGGGTCCCTCTTGAATTTTAGGACCCTTGTCCTCAGTGACTGAGTGACGCACACCGGCAAATGAAGTTTCTGCATGCCTATGAATAATCATTTACAGTCCCCAATACTACTGCTTTAGGGTTTAGGGTAACAGACATAACGACTATCCAAAACCTGCGTAACCAACTAGTAGGTCGTTTGGAGCCTCAGGCTTATAGAACTGTCATTTCTTGAAGTATAGAACTGTAATTTCTTGAGTTTCAGGTGGCTTCCCGATCTTCGACCAGGGGCATCTTGGAAGCTGTACTGCAAACGCCCTGGCGGCCGCCTTTCACTTCACCCTCCACAAGATGGAGGTGGAGAACGACAAGGAGACCCCAAAACCCTAAACCCTACCCATGGGCCCCTAAGTAGTTCCTCTTTGGGATTACCTTATAGGATTCTAAATATAGACCATAAATAGGAACTACTTAGGGGCCTATGGGTAAACCCTAAACCCTAAACCATAAACTCAAATTAAAAGGGGTGCTGGAAGATTGCTCGATGCTTCTGGAATGGGTATACTAAAGCCGGAAATGGGGAGCGACAAGGAGAAAGTTTTTTGGGATTTGGGGTAGGGTGTTTGGGGTGTACGGTTTTTTGGTAGAGAGCGACAAGGACTCAGGGTTTCGGCTTTAGGGTGTTGGGTTTAGGGCTTGGAGATACTTCGAGGGGGGAGCTGGCGAACGACAAGGGTTTAGGGTTCAGGATTACGGTTTAGGGTTTAGGGTCAAGGAGACAGGGTGGAGGGATTTCAGGGCATGTTGCTTGGGAGAGGGTAGAGCGACCATAGGGTCGAGGCGTTTAGGATCCAGCGTGTAGTGTCTAGAGGTTGAGTTGAATTTGGGTTTAAGAAATGGGTAGTTCCGTAAATTGGGGTCTATTTTAAGGCCGGCACCTCTACATCTATATATCTATCGATATATATATATGTATATGTATATGTATATGTATAAACGAACCACAAAGGGGCCCTAATTTAGAGAACTACCTGTCTAGGGCTAGGGCTTTGACAGTCCCTTTCACCGCAGGCTGAAAGACTCGAAAGGCAGATGTGAGTGCTCCGGAATAGCCAGCTACCTATACATGCCTGCCTAACCACCTACCTACCTATCTACCTAGTCGCCCAGCTATAGGTACCCAGCCAGCTATTCCTCTATCTACCTATCTATCAGTTTGTCTGTCTGTCTATCTATATCTACGTATCTATGGGTCCATATTTGACATGTTTACCGCGCAAGAAAGCTTCAAATTGTCGCGGTTCCTCTTCTGGCAGCTATGTTCACAACCTGAGTTTCTTTGCTTGGCAGGACTTCGCCGACTTCACCCCAAGCCGCCTGTTCATCTACTACAACGAGCGTCTCGTTGAGGGCAGCGTGAACCAGGATGCCGGAGCGATGATCCGCGATGGCATCAAGACGATGTCCAAGGTCGGCGTGTGCCCTGAGAGCGTCTGGAAGTACGACGACGGCCCCGACTTCTTCAAGCAGCAGCCGGATTCCAGGTCCTACGAGATCGCACAGAAGTGCAAGGTCATCGGTTACGCCCGCGTCGCGCAGGACCTGAGCCAGATGAAGATGTGCATCAAGAGCGGCTACCCCTTCGTCTTCGGCTTTGCCGTCCTGTCAAGCTTCCAGACAGCCGAGGTTGCTAGCACCGGCAGGATGGTGATGCCTCAGCCAACCGACCAGCAGCTTGGCGGCCACGCCGTGTGCGCCGTCGGCTACGATGACTTCCAGCAGTGCTTCATCGTCCGCAACTCCTGGGGAGAAGGGCAGCTCGTCTGGTTTCAACTCGGCGGTTTCATCTACCGCGGGCTTAGGCTTAAAGGCTTAAGGCTTATATCAACTTGTCCCCTGCCCACGACGTGACCTCTTCTGCTCAGGTGGGGTGACAAGGGATACTTCTACATGCCCTACGAGTACATCTGCAACCCAGCTCTTGCCATGGATCTCTGGGCCATCAACTGGGTCGAGGGCTTCAAGAACGC